CCCCGACCCGCAGACACCCACCCCGCTATCACCACCCGGCTGTCGCTGAACCACAGAAGTCCACCCGCTACATGATGATGAAGGCGCGATTCTCACCCGATTTCCTGAAAAGCCAATGAATTCCAGGAGACGAAGGATCCGGGCAGGAAGGAGTGACAGCATCTGGGGTGGGATGGAGAAATCACAGCCATCACACACAAGCTGCAGGACAGGGCCATAACAGATGGGAGCCACACCCACTGGCATCTCGCATGTCTCTGATTGGTCATGCTCAGCATAAGCTCCGCCTCACCAAATTAAATGAACCAATCCCCAGCTTCACGCCTCCCTCAAACTGGTGGAAGGCGTCGCTGTTGCTGGCGACATATTGCGTCATGTTCACCACATGCTGGCACTCCCTGGGAGAGGAAGTACGAGAGGATTAACAGAGGAGAAGCTAGGAGATGGAAAACAAACTGAAATCTATGGTGGGAGCCTGGATTCGGCACAAAAATGAGACATAAGTAGTTTTAGTGATGGGAACGGGGGTGCAGTGTCACATGGCGTAAGGTTAGAGCAAAACTCAGCGGTCAGATTGCTCATGGGGTGACATTCAGGCTCCACGTGCTAATCACAGTATGTCTGCCTGGAGGGTTCGAGAAAACCAGAGGCACACCAGCAAGCGGTCAGTGGGGGGAGGGGGTGCGTGCAAATTTTGAAAGGGGTATTCATGGGATTGGAACGAGAGACCGAGAGTATCTGTGCTGCTGTGGTCCAGGTATATAGCGGCGCACTTGAGAGAGAGCTCATTTCAGAGCGAGAACTGCAAACAGAGAGACAGCGGAGTGACTGACAGGAAGGAACGGCAGACTGCACCACGGCGCACCAACACGCACACACAGTGCACGTCACGCATAACACATTACACAGGCTTAACATATACATTATATATATATCATATTACTGCACACAGGTGTATAGAGCATACTGTACATACAGACTGAAGGTGCATGTCCCTGTCTCATGAAGACGCGTGTATTTATACGAACTCAGTGACCAGTTCATTAGGCACACAAACTCGCTAATGCAAACGGCCAATCATGTACATGCAGAATCAGACAGACCGGCTCAGGAGGTTCACTGCTAGGCTGAGCACCACAACAGCTAAGGCCCGATCTAAACGTCTTTGAACGTGGTGTGATTGCTGCTGCCAGACAGAGTGGTTTCGGCATCTCAGACACAGCTCCCCCTTCTGGGATTTTCACACACTACAGTGTCCGGGTATAACACAGAAAAAACAATCGCCCTTATTAATGACAGCTCAGTCCTCCCCTCCTCCTCGCGAAGGACAAGAGTGCAAGAAAAGTCCTGTGCGCAGACAGGCAGGGCGTCATGTCGAAAGGCACAACCATGAGGCGGGTCTGAGATGGAAGCCGGCTCTGCACAGGGCTGCCTATTGAAATAGCCACTAGGACAGTGCAGATCCTGAGGCTGGTCAGAGGAATACGGGGGGGGGTGACAGGAGGGAGGTTCTGCTCTCTCTCACTTGTAGATCTGGTAACTGGTCCGGACCTTGATCCCACCCTTGATGAAGCTGATCATGTTTTCATCCTGCTCATGGAGGAGAGGTGCTGTTAGAGGGGGTGGCTGGAGTGGTCCGGGGGGGTTGGGGTGCATGGGGGCAATCGGTAATGGGCTTGCGGGCCAGTACCTGCACGAAGGTCAGCGTGGCTTTCTGCAGCAGGCACTCGGCGTAGCAGATCTCAGCGTGCATCTCCTCTGGGGAGGGGCAGAAACGGGGGGGAGGGCTGAGACACATGGCCCTGTGGGGAGCCTGAGGGCCACAACCTCAAGCTGATTTCGCCCAAAGGAGGGGATGAAAGGGACGGGAGGGGGGGGGGTCTGGTAGGGGGGACCGGGGGGGATGAGGGACCCTACCTTCCCTCAGGGAGTCCGACTGCTTGGAGACCAGGCTGGATATCGACTCCACAACAGTGTTCCGTTTGCGAAACCTGCACAGAAAGAAAGGGAGGAGAAGGGGGGTCGTGGGGGGACCATTTGACCCAGAGCAGGACCATTAAATCAGCAAGGGGAAACTTAATAGGCAGCAGCAGATCACGGATCAGCAGGAGTAGCAGTCACACCTCTGGCAGGTCTGCAGCGCGTCCTTAATGGTGCCCATGGCCGTCTGGATGTCCTTGTGCTCGAATGTCATGGCCGCCTGCATGACCAGAATGCTGCTGTATCCCAGCGCGTGGTACATGCTCTCTCTGGCCCTGCGGAGGATCACATGGGATACGGAGCAGCTTAGAACCCTATCTGCTGCCCGCGCTGGCCTGTACTCGCAGACTGCCATCCGTCCCGAGCCACCGCCCCCACAGGCCTGTACGCGCAGACTGCCATCCGTCCCGAGCCACCGCCCGCGCTGGCCTGTACACGCAGACTGCCATCCGTCCCGAGCCACCGCCTGCGCTGGCCTGTACACGCAGACTGCCATCCGTCCCGAGCCACCGCCCCCACAGGCCTGTACGCACAGACTGCCATCCACCCCGAGCCGCCGCCCGTGCTGGCCTGTACGTGCAGACTGCCAACTGCCTCCCGCCCTCTGCTTAACAGCAGCATTTCACTAAAGAACTATTAATAACAGAAGGTCATGCCAAAAATAAGCATGTGCTATGAAGCTCTGATTGTGCTAAGCAGAGTGTCTAACAAGGTCAAAGTTGATGTGGAGTGACATGAGGGTAGTGGGTAGTGTGGGGTGATGTTCCTCGGCTACCCCACCTGCCGGACAGGAAGTGCTGCAGACCTCGGGTCTGAACTGTTTGTTGACCCTGCATGGAACTCACCAAGGCTTGAGAAGGTCCAGAGCCTCAGAAAACTTGTTGTTCAGGACGAGGTTCAGTGCAATGGCACATTCTTCCAGAGAGGTCTTTAGGTCCATCTTAGATGCCCTGAAATGGAGAAGGAATTGTTCCATTAAACGCTAGACAGGCAGAGCTTCGATCTAACTAAATCAGGTGATGCATTATAAATGTTTAGGGAACGACCGGCAGGCTGTCCTCCTTGTGACCTCAGTGGCTCCTCACATGCAGTAAGATCTTTAATCCCCAGGAGCACAGGCCAGACCAGCGGCCTTTACAGCGATACACCACGGAAAAATACCCCTCTGCTTGGCTAGGGATGATAGAAACAGCTCTTCCTGTCATAGCTGGGTCCCTGCATCCCTCCCCCAGCACTAATCCACAGGGAAACATCCGGGGGCTGGGGGGGTGGTGACTTGATCCCTCTGTTTTGCTGTGACACACAGAGCATGCTCACTGCAATCCACCAGGCCCGCGATTCCTTTCTAACGCCGCGTATCAGAAACATCGCCCACTCAGTCCCCAGGACGTCACCCATCAGGACACCCTGTTCCTGAGCCCCCCCACCCACGGGGCGACCGTGATGGACCCACCCCAGAATGCCAGCGCCGCCCTGCTGGGAACTGGGAACAGCCCACGGTGGTCAGGGCAGAGCGCTGCTGGGGACCGGCATGGAGACCAGACCCCCGAGGCCTCCACCGCCCACAGCAACCCCCAGGGCTCACCAGCCCCCACCTCCATACCCCCCAAATGATAGCTTTCCCATCACCCTGTTATACCAGGAGCAGGACACAATTATAGTACAGCAGGAAATTCAGCATCATATCCAAAGCAGACAAACACCGCAATGCTAACCCACATGCGCTAATTCCCCCTCTGCACAAGCCTGCACCCCCTGGAAGGCTAAAGAGAGAGAGAGCCTACTTACGGAGAGAGGGCACCGCTACACGCATCAGCATGAGTGAGTGGCAGCCTTTAGAGATATCAGAGTGATAGAAGAGAGAGAAGACAAGAGGAGGGACTGGAAAAAGGGAGCTGAGAGTGAGATGGAGGGAGGGAGAGAGAGAGAACAGGAGAGGAGGGCAGGAGGGAGTGAAGAGGAGGGGAGGACTCAAGGACTGGGACGTCACAGCGCACGCTCTCGTTAAAAGGATGTGGCTTCGGGAAGCTTCAACGATCGCCATAGAGACCAGCCTGGGGGGGGGCTGTCACTACATCCCTGCTCTCCCCACCCCCATGCATATGCACATGCAGGCAGCAAGGGCTGTGGGATGCGGCGCACTCAGGTAGTGACATCATCCCCTCTGCTGCATACCTGCAACTCGCGTGTCCATCACATTTTTTTTTGAGGGGGGGGCTCCGTGGACCGAAAGGAAACCCCCCCCCCCACCCCATCCCATCACCATGACCTGTACGACCTGTACATCCACTTATGTGTCTAACCCCGTCTCCCTCCTCCTGTGACTTAAACCTCTTAAAACCTACAGATCATGGAGGCGGCCTCCCCAGTAATAGTTACTAACAAAAATACGCCCCCCCCAGCCAATAATATGTACTAACAGAAATACTGCCCCCTCAGTAATACAGCCCCAGGTAATGTTTTGACATACTGATGCACTGAAATATGAATTAAGAGTGTGAAAAATTCTCGTATACTTTTATTTTGATGATTTTTCAATTGTCCCATTTTATCAAAAGCATTTTATAAAGTTTGATACTTCAGTTGAGCATAATGGTATTTTTGGTATTAATGAAGGTGTTATTGATGGTATTAATGGTGGTATTATTGATGGTATTAATGATGGTGTTATTGGTGGTATTATTGATGGTGTTATTGGTAATATCGATGGTGTTATTGATGGTATTAATGGTGGTATTATTGATGGTATTAATGATGGTGTTATTGGTGGTATTATCGATGGTGTTATTGGTAATATCGATGGTGTTATTGATGGTATTAATGGTGGTATTATTGATGGTATTAATGATGGTGTTATTGGTGGTATTATCGATGGTGTTATTGGTGGTATTAATGGTGTTATTGATGGTATTATTCATATTATTGATGGTGATATTCATGGTTTTATTGATGATGACAGTTCTTTAACGTGACGGATTATTCTCTGACTAGTATGATTTTCATACTTTTATATATTAGTGCTTCAGACTATTTTTCTGAAACCGGCATAATTTGTTCTAATTCCCATTTTTATTCAATGCATTTGGATTAACATAATAATAATCATTAATGAGGCCTTAGTTCAGTTCTTGTTTCACTGTAATGTCCACTAATGTCAACAATTTGCAGTTGTGTGGTTAACTGTCATGAATTACTGTCCTGGATTAGGCCTATATTTGTATTTTACACCAATTGTATTCCAAAGCATTTTTATTCATGAAATTATTTCAAATACACCCAGTAGTTTGTGCGAAATCTCTAAACACAGCAGTCAATGTCATAGGCATCAGAACATTGGGCTGATTTTTTATTATTTTTTTTAAAGTAATGAGAAGCGAAGTACACCCCCTAGAAATATATACAAATACACTTTGGCGTACCTATCATCTATGGGAAAACAGTAATCTCAATCACGACACCCTTAACCCCTACCCAGGCCTAACCCTAACAATAAGTAACCAAACAAAATACAAGACTTTCAGCATGTTTAGTTTTTTGACTGCAGTCACAGATTTTTATAAAATGAAATTTCTCCTTGTGGGGACAGAAAAAAAGGTTGTCAAAATAACAGGCGTTTAACCACATTGTGGGGACATTTGGTCCCCACAATGTAAGGTATACCTGGACACGGACACATACAATTAAAATTGCTGAATAAGACATAATATATTGGGGCCCAATATCATGTTCTTTCACAGGGGCTAAAATCTTTAGCAGCTCCTCCATCCCAGATTTTGAAGTCAATTGTCCTGGATTACAAAATGCAAACAAAAAATAATTTTGGAACAAGGAACACTAAAAGGGGTGGCATGATATCTAGGGAGTGATATCCACATTTTTTTCTTTTTAATTAGGAAGGAAACACCTTTAGGTTTTCAAAAAAGGTCTCATATGTCGATCTACAGGAGTAGTGTGATGTTGCAATAAATCACAGAAGTCAAAAAAGCAAAAAGTGTCTTTTGTCCACATGTATAGCTGTTAAATACACTCATTGTTGAAGCCATAAAGTTGTTTGTCTGACACATTAGAATCTTATGGGCTTATTCTACGTTGACTGACAGTGCCAGTGTGTGTTCATGCGCGTTCGGACCAGTGTCGCTATCGTAAACTAAAACTGACGCTAAATTAAAGAAAACAATTCATACACTGAAATAAAAATGAAAACCATATTTACAAAAAAAGTGTTGGACTTTTATCTGTAAAAAATTACTGCCACACCACCTTGTTTAACCACAATATCTCCTCTTTTAAAATATGTTGCGGCTGCTGATCTGTCCCTTTCTTCAGCGCCACTTCAGCGTTCATCGCTTGTGTTGCATATGGCGTGCTCTGCTAAACAAATTTATTAAGCATGAGGATACGCCAAATTTATACCGATTACTAACTTTGGGGAATTACTTTGGGGAATACGTATCTCATTAATATTTTAGGCTTACTACTAATCTGCTTATATCGAACTGTGGCCGACAATAATGTCCGTATAGCACCGAAAATCCGGCGTACATTATCTAGCAGTTTGTTGTTGTCAAAATAAATTTAAATAGTCAAGTTGATTTTCCAGAGGAAAATTAATCTTTTCAATTAATCGAACAATTGATAAAATAGTCGGTAGATGAATTTATAGAAAAATAGTCATTAGTGACACCCCTAATACAGTCCTTATTTAGACCGCATCAAACCAATGTATTATTCATTTGATTTTGTGTTTCCTTATTTACCTGTAATGCTAAGCTAACTTAGCGGGGAATATTATCGCATGTAATAGCTGGCATTTCATAAGGATTCATCCATGGTACAGGGAGAGGATCCAGCCTGCATGGCACCCCAGGGCAGCCTGCATAAGAGTGTCCTTTCATCTTCACTGTCTCAGGGAAACTTCACCATTGGCAAATGCACACCCAGGGGGAGCAACTGCACACCCTATTGGTCAGATGAAAATGCTACATAATAAGTTCAATAAAAATTAAGCATGCATTTTATTTTGGTGTGCAGTCGTCTGGGACTTTATTTCGTATTTCCTGACTTCCTCACCCTCGCCGAATAAAGTTTGGCCATTACACACCCACAGCGAAACAGTAGGGGGCGCCAGATGTTCCGCCGGCGGCAGTTGCAGATGCGCGGTGCCACATGGAGTAGAAACTCCCTGGAGAGGAGCCCCATGTCATTATCCTGGGACCGTGCTAATTTTATCCTGGATGAATCGTTCATGCGAGAGGGCAGGCAGCAGAGGCTGCAGGGGTGACGTGTACTTACACAGGGATCCTGTCGAAGGCATCTTCAAATTGATCCTGAAAAACAGAAAAAACAGCCATGAGACCGTGGGAGAAACAGGGAGATGTGCGGCGAAAGCTGCGGGGCAGCGGCACCTGGTGCCACACTGACAACGGCGCAGAGGTGGCACAGGAGCGGAAATGCGCACCCGAGCCGACTCCCAGCCCGCGGATGGATGGAGAGCCACGCTCCAGCAGCCAAGGGGGGGGCAGGGAAACAGGAGTCAGGTGTAGCACTCGGAGGCGTCAGAGTCACGGGGGCCCGAAATAAACAGCCCTGCTTCCATTTTACCCCATTTCTATAGAACTCATGGGTGACAGCATGAATGCTGCATTCCACTGAAACGCACGCGCAAGTCAGAATTTCTGAGTTCCTACTTGGAAATTTCAACTGGCATGCCACCTGAAGTCATAATTCCAACTCAGAAAGTCGGGGAAACATCTGCAACCCCGATCTTAGAATTCAAGATGGCTGCACCCTTCATCACAAGAAATGAAAACTGTAGTTGCACACTGTTTATTAGCACTTATGTCTTATTGGTGGTTCAATAAATCATTTGTACACACAGTACTGTCCAGCTGCTATCTGTGGACATGTTGCTACAGCGTTTGTATGCACAAAATACTACGTAATGTGTTATCAACCGGTATTGCACACAATGGCTAACAATGAACCGGGCCAGAACTGGGGCATCAGTTTCAGAAAGCAGGATTTCTTACGTAGCTGGACAACTTGTTGGATTTAAGGTAGTCCAGGCTAAATGTGACTGAATAAAGATGAAGGCCATTTACACTGGGGTACCTTAAATCTGGTATTTCTAAATGACACATGACCCCGCCCCTGGCATGTGACCCTGCCCCTGGCCCCACCCCTGCACCATTCCCTTAAACTGGATCACTCAGACCAAGTGACCTAATGGTAGGGAGAGATTCAAATGTGCGTGGTAGGCCAGGGGTTTCACTGCATTTGTGGAATGGCTTCAAACCACGCCCCCCAAGCAGGTTTTACCGGTCATGAACTTTTTCCATAATGTAGGCTGGGCCATGGTCAGCAGAACGTTGGGAACCCGTCTAAAAGGCTATTGCCCCCACCAGTACTGGAGCCCCAGCCACACAAGACCAATGCCACCCCCAGGCCGGCAGCCATGCCTGGGGGCACCTTTAAGCGCCCCTGACCACACTCCTGCCCATCGTATTTACGAGGGAAAAATGGAGGTCTGTAATGAAGACAGAAGAAGGTGTGTAAGCCTGTAATTCACATGACAACCAAACAAACATAAAAAACTGCTAGCTATTATTTTCTTCTTCTGTTAAGCTCACACCTGGACTGAGTGTGTGCGTTGCCATGCCGATAGACATTACACAGACAGCGAGAGGCAGACACCACTCTGCCCCTCCCCCCATAGGGTGGTTCATCCCAGGAATTTCTGCCAGTGTTACTTGGAGAGAAACGTGAGGAATCACAGGAACTGACAGCTAAGGAGCCACCTGCAGGAGCTCAGCTGGGGGTGAGAAGCAAGCGAGGGGGGAGGCGGAGCCAGGGGGAGGAGGTGCCAGGGGGAGGAGGTGCCAGATCCCTGAGCGCGACCTCACGCCAACGGCTGTTTTACCAGGGCCCACAGACCCCCTGTCACGGCGCCCATACCCTCGACATCAGCAAGTCCCGAGAAGCGGGCGCACACACGCACGTACACACACGTGCACACACACACATGCGCACTCACACACACATACATGCACACACACACACACACACTCATACCCCGGTTTGGTGACATAAATGTGCATTCATATCCACATTCAGCAGCCTCATTCTGCAAACCCAACATGACAGCCTCCAAAAAGGCAGCTTTGCAGCCACCCCCGCCTGCACGGAGGCACTCCTGTTCTCAGCAGACCCACCCATGCCTTCATGACCAAGGGAAAGCAACAGAGTCCTGCAGCCCCTGCAGGCAGACACCAGCTTTCTCTGCAGAGACAGACAGTCATCTTCGTGGGTGGGGGGGCACGTTTAACTGTAAGCCAAAGGAACCAAAGTAATGTGGGCATAACTAGAGGCCAACCACCATCCTGGGTTTCCTTAATAAAACCCCGTCTTTCCGTTCGAGTTTGAGCAGGAAATGAGCTGAATACATACAATTAGTGCAAGCGGCACAAGGAGATGTCGTCAGCAGGGAATCTCATCTGCAGTACACAGTGCAGCAAAGCTGCCCAAACCCCTCCGGTCCTCCATTCACGGGTCCCCAGAAACTGGACTGCCCCCCTCCCCTCTCTCCCCTGCAGGTCCCCAAACCTCCAAACGGCCAGCAGGATGCAAGGCTCCCATACATGTAGGACCTAAGTTAACCAAACTGCTTTTTGGTTCCTCAGAACTGGCTCCTTGCTGGCTGGATCCTGGAGATGTTTGCCGAGACCCCTGTCCTGGTCTCTCCTGGCCACAACTGGGTCACTATTGGATTTCCCAATAACGGCACCAATACAATTGCGTTGGAGGATCTACCAAATGGGGCCCTTTCTGGGAGAGTTCCTCCCATCGCCCACATGCCTCTGATTGGGAACAGTTTAAATGCGTGTGGCTTAAGTGGATTAGGGTTAGGTTTAGGGTTAGGCATTATGCTAAGTGGATTAGCAAGCCGCTGCCTGCGGACCTTTGCTTCAGCATGACCTGCAGCGTGATGATTCAGAGCAAAATGCAGCAGCAGTGCATGAATAAACAGGAAATGAGCTGTAAGTCAGGGCCTTTGGAAAGCGGCCGTAAGGACAGACACCAAAGCGTAAGTGGGACATCATGCTTTTAGTCCGATTCAGGTCTCGGAGCGGCTGAACGGCTCTGCGAATGTGTTTAGTGAAACAGAGCCACCAGGAGAGAGCTGCTTTAAAGACATTAACTGAAAACCACTTCCTTAATAGGCTCACGAAGAGGACAGCAAAACCAAGCGCTGTGACAGAGACACCTGAGAGCATGAAACACGAGGCGCTGACACTGCCCACGATGGCACTGCAGATCAGGGTGACAGTGAATAGCATCGAGGGATCATAGAAACACCCACGTCAGTAACTGCGATAATCTACAGCACCTGGCGATTTATAAGGCTGTGACCTTATTGTGTGACTTACCATACAATACGGGGGGTGTGACAAACTGCGGTTTTGGTCGTAGTGAAGGGGAATACCACACCAGCCCAGGGTCATACAGAGTGACAGCGGGGGTCCTACGGGTGGTACACTGGGGGGCCCCTACCCCACAGCCCATGGGCGGTACATGATGACAGTAGGGGTCCCCATTCACCACAGACAGACAGTGTGTCCTCCTCCTGGCCAGCTGATGGACGGCGTTCAGGGTAACACCGAGCCCGTGCGCCTGCGGTCTCCCCAAGAAAACACGAAACAGGAGCAGGGGATCTGCCAGCAAACAGCCGGCCGGTGGGCAACACCGCCTTCACGTTACTCTCGCTGGAAAAGGGAGGACGCGCAGCGGAGGCGCGCACTGAGCCTCGGACACGTATATACAACGCCATACACACTAGCAAACACACGCCTGCTGCAAATACCAACGAGAAGAAACAGCGAAGAATAAGGAGCCGGCGGAACCGGCAGCAGCGAACTCGGCGACGTGCCGCCCGGCTGCCGCAATCAGACGCACATCAGCAGGATCGCTCTTCACGGCTAGTCGGGCTCCGCAAAGCCGTCACTCTTAATTAAAGCGTCGGTTTCGCTTCCAACAGTAAGCCTACCTCATCGTCCAGACTGCCGGATCCGTTCCCGACGTGAGCCATGTTGATCCCTGAGAGCAGCTCGTACGGAAGTGAGACAAGCACACGGGGCTGGGAGCATACAGACAACGGCCCCTGAGCGCCACTCCGTGGGTGTGTGCGGAGACCCGGGTTACTCGGCGTCTCCCCGACTCCTGCGGCTGCTTTCCGCCGGATTCAGTCACTGGTCTACATCAGCGGCCGGCACACGTATGCAGAAACACACCCCTGCCGTGACAGCTCACGTGCACACGCGTACCCGTGCCTGTATGTATTACAGTTGTAATAATATGAGTGCGCTGGCAGCTTTTTGTGTCACTGTCATACCTCCAGGCCAACCTCGGTGTCGGGGTTGGCAGCTGTTTTAGTAAACAGCGCTTTTTTCCTTACAGGCTGTCCCGAAGGGGAAACAGCCGAGCCGAGACCCCCCGAGGGAAGCCGAAAGTTGCCGAACCGAGCCCCCTGGCGTAAGCGCGGCCGCACGTAGTGATTCACTGCAAAGTCACCTTCACTCTTTTGCGCGACCACGGCCAGGTCTCACGTTACAAAGTATCCAAGGGCATAGACCCGCCATGCACTTCATACAGGGTAAATATTAACACATCTCAGCCCACGATCAAGCTATTTCCGTCATTCGAAATTTAAATTCAATATGTCAGCGGTATAACTTGCCAAATGCAACAAAGCACAACAAAATGGAATGTAAACGCATTCCGACAATTGCGCGCTAAATAGTTATTGCTAAATATGCAGTTTTCCGTATTTGCCCGCGCAGGTATTTTTAAACAATATTCAGAAATTTGAGCACACCGATGACGAGCCGAACGCGCGCCACTGAGAGGGACAGCTGACCCTATGATGTACTGGCGGTTATCTGCTGTGCAAAAGGACCCCGTCTCTGAGAAAAAGCTCAAACCCAAGAAATATAATCTTTAATTAGCTTTCAACTCCAACAATCATGCGAAGTGCCCACTACGTTTTCAGAATACGGTATAAAGTTGCGATAAACAAATTATCTGCCCGATTGCTTATCAGCAGGCTGTACACCATGTAATATTTGTTTTTCCCTTCCCGACAGTCTGTTTTTTTCTTTCCTTCCACACAATGAACACCCACATAGTGCTTCTCGGCACTCAGGGCTCCGTCGGATGCATGCTTTAGGTGAACACGTGACGCAGGTTTCTGTACTCTGTGGTTGACTCGGTTCGTACAAACGCTACAGGGTCCAGTCCGCTAAGAGGGTTGCGTGCCATGGGTTCGGTAGCAAGTCCCGCCTCCGTCAAACACAGCATGACAATAAATTATATCTCCCAGAATGATTTAAAAATGATAGATAACCCAGCCCTGTTACACGGTGTGGTCTCTCCCCACATTCATCACGGAACCACAACTGACATCTTTGAAGGCAGATGACCACCAGTCACATTTTAATCAGGATCTGATGGATGATAATATTGCAACATAACCCAAGACAATAGAAGTACCACATTTATACAGAAATTGCTACTTCATTCAGGCAAAAACTGATTTAAAAAAACATATAGTGAACTTCTTAAAACTGGAGACACTGTCTAAAATCTGAATACTACACAGGGCGTTTATAGCTATCAGAAAGGTCAGGGCCTGAGTCCAGTTTACCTGGGGCTCGAGGTTTTAGTTTTTGCAAGAAGATCGGGACTAAAATACACAAGGCTATAGCACAGTGCTGTGACATTTAAAAAAAAAAAATGTACACATTCGTGAGACACCTCCCTGCTTGAACAGGAAGCCCCCCCCCCCCCCCCCCCGCCCCAGTAGAAAGAGCCCTGCCTTCTCTACACGTGGACACCATCCACGATACACATGCAGAAAACCTAGTTCCTCTCATCTAAAAGTCTAATCAAGCAGTGTGTTGTTTCCAGTCACAGTAAACAGAGGTCCAGTGTCACCACTAGACGGGTCTGAACACTCCGGGTCTTTTCTGCAGGGGTTTATATTACAAAGAGTACGGTATTTCTGTTACTAGGCAACTGTGAGGCATTAGCCTATAACGTGTGGAACACTAACTGGCCCAGGGCCACAAGGTGCATCACGGCCCGCAGCAATAGCAGCAAAGGGCAGCGTGACTGGCTGTCTGCGCGCCTGGTGGCAGGGCTCAGCAGCCGGGGCGTGTTTCTGACGCGACACAGCAGAACGGCGGCCTTCTGCGTCCCCAGGGCACCGCGGACGGTCACGCACGGGAGGGCCCGCCCAGAAGGCCCTCCGGGGGCCCATCACCGCGTTGGCCTCGGGACGCCTCCAGCTTCACCACGTCGGGTCAACGTTAACGTGTCCCAGAGCCAAAGACACACGGCCAAAGCTCACGGGCCGCTCATGTGTCCCTGCAGCTGCCCTTCATTCCTCTGATGAGCAGATTGCAGCTGAACAGCACCTCCTAATGGGGGGGGGGGGGATGATAAGCTGTACAAAGAAGCTTCCGGACTACAGACACCATAAACATGCTTCATCCACATTATACTTCCAGCAAACTCTGACTAATACAGTATCAGTCTGGACACACCTGCTGCTTGAAGTCTCCATTTCCATGTTACTCACCTTATAGTAAAAGGCCTCAAGACAATGAAGTAATACATATTAAGTATTGCAATGACTAAGAGAAGAGTTCAGGCCTCACGCTGGTTGCCCTGCCCTAACCTTTCAATCCAACTGATCCCAGACCAGCTCTGTAGCACTTAGTTTGGTCGATTGCGGGGGCAGATGTGCTGAGTCACAAGATAGTACAACACTTACGTAACCTTAAGCTGTGCTCAGGGTCCTTATCTTGTTCAGATGTTTTTCAGTCGGTGTCCAGACTCTTGACTGGTACTGTACACTTCAATTTAAGCCAGCAAAAAATAAAATGATCATATCTTCTGACTTCATAGAATGAAATTTCAAATAATGTAAAAATGCCAAACTCATATTAAGCAATCAGAAATCATCGCTTGGAGAAACAGACTAAATGACAGAGCGATTTGCCCTGTCTCTGCCTCAGAGCGGCGACACTGCGACCCTCCAGACCCCCCAACACTCACCCCTCTTCCACCTTCCCTATGACGTCTCTGCCTTCCTCTCTTCACCTCCACCTTTCCCCTGACATCTCTGCCTTCTTCCTCTCTTCACCTCCATCTTCCCTCTGACGTCTCTGCCTTCCTCTCTTCACCTCCACCTTCCACTCACCCAGACACGCACTTCCTCTCCCTGTCAGCCTCTTCCCAGAGACCTCAGTGAACTGGCAGGCGGGTGCATGTTGTCCTCTGCAGGTGATCGTCGGCCTCAGCACTGTCTGTTCCCACTACTTGCACACTGTGACATTCCAGAAAAACTCCCGCAGGTTAAAAATCATGCTTTTGGCAAACAGCAGTACAACCTAAAGGAATTCTGTGCCGAAGGTCGCAATCCTGCGGTTCTCTCTACGCTAACTCTGTGGCGCCAGAGAGGAGATGAGTGAAGCAGTGAAATATAACAAACCTTGTATCCTGATGACCGTTAGCCTGGGCCGCGAAACACAGGCCGGCTCAGTGTTAACCAGCATTACCGTGTGTTAGAGCCATAGCTGCTAATTGCATGCAATGACTTAAAATTTGATATTTATTTTATTTTGTATTCTTAGGGGTGAATATGTCATTCTTAGATTTTGTTATAGTAACTCAGTTAACATTTAAGTTTAAATGTTGACCCCTATATTGATCATTTGGTATGGCCCTTTTTGTACGGTATCGCGTGCAGTATTGATTTGTTTTTTAAGAAGAGACGTAAGTGGAAGGAAGGAAAAGAATTAGCCATTGCGGAGCAAAACAATTTCTTGACCGTGCTAATAAAGCCGGTGAATCCTTTGGTCTTTTTTTGTTTAGGAAATATTGTCAATTGGATTTTATTTACATCTATAGATAAAAGGTTTTGTTGAATTTTACGGCTTTGCACGCGTCCATTTTTTTGCTCGTACCGTTTATTGGAATGACGTAGGTATTGGATCTGTCGCCATAACACGGTGCATGTCACCCCAGTGCTCTGTGGCACTGCGAGCTCTGCGACATGTGTACATACACGGCCCTGATGCAGAGCTGAGGTGCCCTCCCCCCCCCCACCCTGCCCATGGACCTCCCACCTCTGCCTCTGAGAGCTGCTCCTACGTGACCGAACCAGAAGCATGGGGATCAGACCATCTCCTGCAGCTCCGTGAGGGACAGAGGCCATCGGGAAGAAGCACAGATCTGGTTCTGACGGGCCAGGCGGGGTCGGGGGGGGGGGATCTCTCCCAAAGGACACAGTCAAACTCTGTATAGAGCTGTACTGGCGTGTTTCACACTTCCACGCCGGTTTTTTGTCTAGGACCCAACACATCCATTCACCCATGCAGCTCCTCCAGTGTACAGACATGGAGATAATTGGGTGCAAAACACAGAACTAGAAATGAAGGCCTTCTCAGTATCAGCTACTCACAGCCATTACCAAGAGAGACAAAATAACCGACAGATAAATCTCTGTGTTTCTGCTTCAGAGTGATGATATTCAGGGCCCTGAAACTCTGACTCACTACTTTTAATAATAATAATAATAATAACAATAATAATAATAATCACACTTTATTGATCCCAGAGGGGAAACTATCACCTTCCCCATCTTGCTCTCCATGACGCACATGTAGGAGAGCGAGCTTGGCAGTGAAGGGCAGCCCCCCCCACAGCGATGCCCAGGGAGCTGGGGGTTAACAGCCTCACTCACTATGGACATGCAGCTATTCTGCCGAGGCCGGGCTCAACCGGGTAAGCTGCCAGTCGCAGGTGGAGAGGCTCAGCCCTCTGAGCCAAACACCCCCGTGACTTTACTCACTCATATCCAAACACCCCCGTGACTTTACTCACTCATATCCAAACACCCCCGTGACTTTACTCACTCATATCCAAACACCCCCCTGACTTTACTCACTCATATCCAAACACCCCCCTGACTTTACTCACTCATATCCAAACACCCCCCTGACTTTACTCACTCATATCCTTTGACACCAAAGTAAGATAACCTGTGTGTCCCCCCCCCCCCATGGTATAAGAACCCTGTGAAATAATGGCTCTCTCTTGTGTTCATTATTCAGCTATTCAGAGGGAAAACCAACACTGGCCAGTCCTGCTGCTCCTATCCTGCCTTCAGTCTAACCAGCATCACCGCCATTCTCGTTACGATGGGCAAGGCCACTTTCTGCGGCCTTCGCAGCCTCAAACTCAAAGCATGACAGAAACATGCGTTAATAAATCATGGTCTTAAAAACGAGCACATTGCTTATTAGGTGACTGACAGCATCACTTGAGTGGCTGCAAACAAAGCCACTTCCACAGAACAAATGGCGCGACTGACAGATTCAATATCACCTCACTGTCCATCTGTTCATCCCAGCTGCAGGTTTTTTTTCCAGTGTGCCTCAGGGCTTTGTGAAGCTCTTCCGGTTGTTTGCTCTTCCATATTCATCTTTGTTTTCAAGGTAGGGAAATAAGTCTTGCTCCTAAGAATGCCCCGGAACAAAATACTCATATCACCAAAACAGCCCATAATGCGGCCTTAACACGAAGTACACAGGATCTGTCCGGGAAACTTCGATAAAGCCTCTGCATCTTTATGGTCACCTCATCCCCTTAAAATAAAACCACAATCTCCTCCCAACTCCCACTTTCGACAAACTGGATTCACGTCGCCTAAAAGCTTCACCAGATATCACCGACTTAAAACTGACGGCTCATCAGCATCAAAGATGGAAATGGAAAATTAAGGGTGGTGATGTGATGACATCACCAGGATCACTGTCAGGCTGGAGCTGGGATGGATCAGCATTTGCGTTAGAAATGACCACATGCCACCAGTAACTACCACCATGTCGAATGCTATCAAAATGCCTTAGCAGGGCAGTGTGTGGTGCCCTTTCATGTTGGCAAATATCAGGCCCATCCACCCATTTTCTGTATTCACTTGTACTATTCAGGGTCTCAGGGGTCCATGGCTATGGGCACAACCACAATGGGGCTCCAACGCAGGCTGTCAGCACAGATCTGTTCTGTTAGCTAGTAGGCTGCTGGGCCTTGAAGTAAGTAGGAGATGAAGTCTTAACTTCATCAAAGGAATTAGCTTTGTGAGAACACATAAGGTTTATTAGGTTTGCTGAAACATTTATGTATGTGTTTTAACTGAGAATTTTCTCAAGCTTTCACAGTTTGTCACACTTTCAGTTCACCTTCTGTTAGTGTTTATCATCATAACACTTCATTTACATAATTATCCATGCCTGGTCAGCTGCCCAGCTAAAGAGCAGCAGTAAGGGATGAAGACTGAGCTGCTCCTTCACATTCCTACTTTAGACTACAGTAAGCGTTTCAGATGAAGGTTGAATTTTAAGGTGCCCGGTCAGGGAGAGAGCCAGTATTAGAATGGACGCCTGGCTCCCTCTGGTGGTGACTACACGCCATTTCAGGTCATATTTCACTGCGCTTTCACGTGAACACTGAGAACCAGCCAGTCAAGCGGCAGACGCTGTCGCGTTCAGTTCCATAAAGGCAGAATGAGCAGCTTTCTAATAAAAGCTTTCTAATAAGTGTTGCATGAATTGCATTCAAAGCAATGCAACTTAATGTACATCGCACGTGAGAAAGACACATAAGCTCCGATTCCTTAGGCATCGCTGGCTTTGATTGGGTCTTTCAAAGCGTCACGATTACGTCGACCAATCAGACCCACGGAAACGCCAACGGAAGTTACCATGTTACCAAACCCAAAACAAGAGATTTAAAATGCGAATCGGGGCAGCGTAAGTTTGGGGTCGGAAACTTTATTTTATCGAAGTTAATTGTGTGACTGTGACTGTGACTGTGCAAATGCGGATAATGAGAAAGAATCGATCTATGTGAGCAGCTCTGTAACCTGTAAACAACGGGGCTTTTCCCCTCTTAAGCAGAGATTTCATTACTTGGCCAATTTACTCAAATGTTTTCAGTGTTTTGTAAACAAATGTGAATTGAATGAAACATACAGATTATTTCATCGCAATTTAATCCAGAGTCGTTGATCTAAATCATTCTCTAATCTGTATAGCGGTTGAGGTAGTTTGACAGATTTGTTGCATATACAATTGCGAAGTATTAAAGGTCCGCAGGGCGTAGGCGAAAAGGAAAGATAAATGAATGGCAAATGGACAAAGTACGAAGACCTTACACCACTACAGAGGCTTAAGATAAGATAACCTTTATTAATGCCACAGTTGTCATAGCAGGAAAAGGACAGTTCAAGAGGAGCGATAAAATAGCAATAAAAGATTATGCAATGTAACAAAAAAACTATATTGCACGAACAAGGTGAAGCTTTGGGGGTGCAAAATGACCTGACTGAGGATGAACGCTGACTTTTCAGGCGTTTCTAGGCCTGACCATGCCTGATGAGCAGACGAGGCGGGTGGGGCCCGGCCACAGTGACAGAACTGTCCCTAAGCCCAGGGAAAAGCCCCGTAAGGACCATGGGAGGGAGAAGGCGCGCTTCCCCAGGCCGGCGGAGGATGAGATCAGCAGGTGCAGAGCTGAGCATGGCACGAGCACGGCATGTTCGGCACAGCCGGCCTGTCTGCACCTTAACCCAGAGAGTCTGCTGGGCTGTTTTTAGCTTTCAGACTTTTGTTGTTTTTGATCTGTTATTTCGGATGTCGGCAGGTTGAAAGAGGTCATTTACCTTCAAAGTCAACTTCAGAACCCCCGGAGCTTGGAGAGCGACCAATTTAGTGCGTCTGCCGACCTGCAACGGAAGCTTAACCAGCTAGAGAAGGAAAAGCTGGAATTCTGCATCAAGTTCAACGAGGAGGTGCTGTGACCTGGGGGGGGGCCCTGTGTAGCTTAGTTCTTTCCCTGTTCCACCACAAATGATTCAGCTCAACAGCTGTGTGGTAATTAGCACAAGGAGTTGAATCAGGTGTGTTAAATGAGGGGAAACCCAAAAATGTGCAGGGCTCCGGCCCTTCGGGACTGGAGTCTGACACCTGTGTTTTAAGTGGTTCACGATTTCATGCGTATCTGGGGTTGCGCATTGTAGACGTCACAGGGGCCTGTAGACGCAGCCTCTTGGTGTGTGTGGGGGCCTCCGTCGTGCATTTAGGAGGACCCTGTACTTCATCCTCCTCCTTTTCCCTGAGCCCCGGCTTCCCCTCCTGTTCCGCAGAGCCTCAGGGATAGCTGACCCTAATTAAAATGTTAGCTTGTTATGCAGTAAGTAAGCATTTGTCCTGTATTTTGGAATCTAACTGCGATTTAGAAAACGTGAATAGAAGAGAAGCATGTAATAAAGTCGTCTCCAGTCCCGCTGCTGGGTGAGATGTTCTGAGAGCTTTGAGCTGCTTTCCCAGGTTTCCAGGTATGAAGAGCAGCTGGCCAAACTGAGGGCCGTCGTGGAGAGAGGAGAGGCCCAGCGGCAGAACCTGGAGTACGAAAAGGCCGTGCTTTGCAAGGAGGCCGCGGCGGAGAGGAACACGGCCGAGGAGAGGGCGGCCAGCCTCGGCCGGAAACACAGCCAGCTCCAAGGCGAGTCCTCAGCATACAGGGCTGGGCAGCAGGGGGCGCCGTTACACCTGATGTGAGCCTGGGTCATGCTAAAGCTGTTGTAAAACATGCCGCTGTAATTTACCAGTCCAGTGGATCCATATTTGATGTTGGCGCATTAGCTGCTTAACGGTAAAGGCGAGTCCTCCTGGTGGTGACAGCGTGTGGCTGCATCCCCGCAGTGCGGAGCGCCGAGCTGCAGCAGCGGGCTTCGGACCTGCAGCGGGCCCTGGCCATCGCACAGCAGGCCCGCGAGGAGGACCGACGGAGCCTGCAGACGGAGCTGGACCAGAGAGAACGGCTGCTGCTGAGCGCTGGTGCGGGGAACGAGCTGCTGGGCGCGGAGACTAGGCGCCTGAAGGCTCTGCTGCAGGTACCGTGGGGAGTATCTACACACCTGGTGTCAGGAGAGCGCCACCTGCTGTCCAGCAGAGCCCAGTGCAGCTGTCTCAGTAAGGGGTGTAGGTGATTTTACTGTGGACAAATGAATTTTCCTGTGAAAGCCTTCATGCTACCATTCTGATTGGCTGGCTCAGGCATCCAGCTCGGGGGGACAGGTGACCAACCGAGGTATGACGAGTCCCCTGTGCTTAGGGGGAGGAGCCCTTGCTTGTATCCCTGTTTAATCTGCACTGCTGCTGCAGATTAAACAGGTGTCTGTGAGCTCAGGCACTGATGGTGGACGTGGAGGTCTGGCTCGCAATCTCTGTTCTAGTTTATCCCCAAAGGTGTTCGATGGGGTTGAGGTCATGGTTCTGTGTGGGCCAAGTTCTTCCACACCGAACTCCCTGCTCTGTTACTTTAGTTTTGGTCTGTCACTTTGTGGCTGAGTTCCTGTTGTCCCTCGACATTCCCACTGCATTAGTAGCACTTACAGTTGACCATGAAATATGTAGCAGGGAAGAATTGTTTGTAAACCTGGCTGCATGGCTTGGTGATTGATTTTATACACCTGGGACACTGGGTCTGAATGAAACACCTGAATTCATTGATTAAGAGCTGTGTCCCAATATTTTGGTCCATATAGTGTATTGTGTGTGTTCATTTAACCTCCTGAGACCCCACCCATTCATTTATGTCCATTGTAGTGGACATTTTGTTTTTGCATCTATCTTTTCATTGATGTAAGGAAACATATTTATTCCTGTTGTACATTAAAGCGGACATGCTGTGAAATTAGAAATAAAAATAAATTTGAAAAAATCTAAATTGTAAGATGTCTTATTTCCTCCAAAGACAAAAAACCTAAAATTGAAGGACACTTTTTTTCCTTGGGTCTCAGGAGGATATAGCTACATTTTCTGTATGACTCTTGCTGTTTCAGTTATGGTGCCACCTAGTGGGCATCTATGCATTTTCATTCGTAATGCACTATTATCAAATGCCCCGAAAAAGACCGATGAGTGATCAGCGTCAGTGGTTTTCACCGTGCGGCTGTCTGACGTGGCAGGATCGGGAAGGAGCCCTGCTGGAGCTGCGCAGGAAGGTGGAGGAGATCCAGAGAGAGCGAGACGAAGAGAGGCAGCAGCGCAGGAGACAGGCCAAAAAGCTGCAGAGTGCCGCGGGACGCGAGGGCGCCCTCCGCAGGCAGCTGGAGGTACACGCCACCTTATCGTTCACATCCCTGTGTTTTGTCTTTGCTGCTTTTGGTAGAGCAAGTTTGATGTTAGTGATATAACATTTAATAATATGAATTACTGGTGAAAACGAATATATACATAAAAATCACATTTTTGTTTGTCTTTTAAGCTTTGTAAACAAAAATGATACAGGGCGTATATAACATGAATAACAAATAGGAAGTTCACCTAACAGTTGGTGTTGTCACTCTATCTGATCTGTACCACCTCCCTGATTCTGTCTGACACGTCTGCACCGCCCAATCCGTTCATCCTGGGCAACGCTGGTTTGACTTTAGTAATCCGGCTAAGCAAGAAATCCGGCTTTGTGAAACATGATGCAGATACCTAGTGTTAATGATTCTGTTGACTTAACAAACGATCGATTTTCTTTGCTTGTCATTTTAATAGTTTACTCCGGTCGTCTGTTTCCAGTTTTGAATCAACACTATTGCCTAAATATCCCATATCTGCAATGTTAGTTTATATTCCCATCGGTTTAAATTGCCGCTGTCCAGCGACATTGTACTTTGGTATATGTGGTGTACTTTGGTATACGTGGTGTATTTTGGTACACTCTAAACTGAAATATGAAGTTTAGCGTATTTTATGTTTGTTTCAGCCATATTTATATCAATTCAAACCTGTGGGATCAGACAAAAATGGACAAAATAAGTACATTTCCCTAGTTCTTTGTCCTATTGGCATAATCTACTGACTAATAGTGGCAGCTGTTAGGGGTATAGGAGCATCAATTTGTCTCCCCCTCTCCCATGACTTGGGTACCTAAAGTGACCCATAAATATGCACTCAAACCCAACTGCAGGCACTACACAGAACTTTTATTTAACAGAAAGGAAAAACAAAGAATCCAAAATTAGAATATTGGGCTGAATATCCCATTCTGGGCTGGTGGAGATCACTCACAAGCAGTCTGTGAAATGAACTGGCACAAATTGGGCACCGTCATAAAATCTGCCATGAAGTGTGATGCTGCGAATGAGCATGCGCAGACGTATGAGGTACAAATCAGGCGGTACGGATTGCTTCAGAAGCGCAACGAGATGATGTCATTAAGCGACCGCCAGTCAAATACTGCATGGTAGAAAATGACGCGGAAATAGTGATAGAAATATGACAGTTCTGTCTCATCTAGCTGTTTTTATACAGATGTATAAAGACGATTATAGCGCTTATGCAGAATAATCACGATCAGCTCAAATAATCGCAACCAAGCGATTATGTAATAATTGTGACCGGCCTACACCTAGTGAGCCCTTGTGAGTAGCCCAGCCTTACATCGTGAGTAATCAGCTGTTTACGCCAAGAGATTTACTGACCTACCAGAGCGTGTCAGCCTCAGCATGTTTCCTGTAGGAGCGTTTCCGGGAATTGGAGGCCACGCTGGAGGCGACAAGGAAAGGCCAGGAGGGGGCGCTCTCCAGCCTGGAGCTGATGAAGCAGCAGCTCTCTGACGTGGAGGTGGCCAATGAGCAGGAACAGAACAAAGCCAGGGATGCGCAGTACATGCTCACACAGTAAGGCGGCGTTTTTTTAGAGCCTCCACTTTAATGAGCACAACGCCCCCAAGTGGAAGTAAGTGAATATGCGCAAACGTCACCTTTACTTTACAAAGGTTGGAGAAGGACTATCTCTCCATCAAGTCTGAGCTTGAGGAGAAGCATAAGGCCATGGAGGAGAAGGGCCGGACCATGGAGGAGATGTCAAGGGCCTTGGAGGAGAAGGGCCGGACCATGGAGGAGATGTCAAGGGCCATGGAGGAGAAGGGCCGGACCATGGAGGAGATGTCAAGGGCCTTGGAGGAGATGGATAGACGGCTGGAAGACTGCGAAAGGCTGCGAGATGGAGCGGAGCAGAAGCTTCAGGAGGTGCGTGCAGAATCTGGGCCTTCAGTGGTGATGCATTAGCATGTTAACATTTTATGGTACTGTGTTCTGCGGTGATATGTTACCATTTTATGGCACTGTGTTCAGCGGTGATGCGTTAGCATGTTAACATTTCATGGTACTGTGTTCTGCAGTGATATGTTAGCATTTGTTGGTACTTTGTTCATCGGTGATACGTTAGCATATTAACATTTTATGGCACTGTGTTCTGCAGTGATTCATTAGCATGTTAGCATTTAATGGCACTGTGTTCTACAGTGATACGTTACCGTGTTAGCATTTAATGGCATTGTGTTCAGCGACAATCCTTTATCTTAGCATTTTATGACACCGTGTTCAGCGACAATACTTTAGCATGTTAGCATTTTCTGGCACTGTGTTAGATGATGATACATTAGCATGTAAATATTTTATGGTACTGTGTTCAGCGGCAATACGTTAACATGTTAACCTTTATGGCACCATGCCCAGCAAAGATACAGTATCATATTAACATTTTATGGCACTGTGTTAAGCAACGATACATTCGTATGTTAGCGTTTAATGGCACCATGTTCAGCAGCAATGCATTAGCATGGTAGCATTTTATGGCATAGTGTTCAGTGACGATTCACCAGCATGTTAGCATTTTATGGCATAGTGTTCAGTGACGATTCACCAGCATGTTAGCATTTAATGGCACTGTGTTTGGCAATGATATTTTAATGTGCTAGTTTTTAATGTCACCTTGTTCAACGCAGGTATGTTAGCATTTTTGATGCCGTGTTCAGCGGTGTTGGCATTTAATGGGACCGTGCCGTATTTTGCTGATTGATCTGACTGATCATGTTTTTCATTTTTGTAATCAGATATGAGAGGAAGTGAGAGGAGCTGTGAGTATCTCTGTGCTGTGCTGCTGTCGTTATTTCCTGCGATGAGCGTGTATGTTGTCCTCGTAGGCTCCGATGAAGGGCGAGCTTGGTATTCCCATGTCAGTACGCCGGGCCCCGGGTCAGGGTCCTGGAGCTCGAGCATGTGTCAATGAATTCCTCACGAGCAGGAAGACTCATGTCTGACTTGCGAGGCATGACCTTGTCCTTGGAATAGTGCCAGGAAAAAATCCTAGAGCCTCCAAAAGGACGTCCCAGCGTGGCGAGGCCGCCCTTCACCGGAGCGGACCAGACCTTGGCACGGCGCCGGCCCGGGAGACTGGGCTCGTCTCTCTGCTGGCATGCGGGGCTGTCTCTGTGGGAGATCATCGAGATATGGACGCGTATTGCTGACGAGAATCGTGGTGGGCGGGATGGCGGTGCGTGGTGTTGAGCTGGCTGGCTGACGGGACACAGAAATAGAGGAACACGTTCAAGCAGAAGTCGCGCTGGAATGTACCAGAAAAGAGAACAGACAGAAAACAGACTTTTCTATGTCTCTCTACATCTGTCTCTCTAGGTCTGTCTCTCTCTCTTTCTCTCTCTGTGTCTCTTTCTGTCTCACTCTCTGCCTCTTTGTTTGTCTCACTCTCCATGTATGCCTCTCTCTATCACAGGAATCTGCCTGGGCTGATTCATGTTCCCACAATACGTTTACATGCACAGCTAAGTCAAGGTACAGTTATAGCACGACTACGCCATTTAATTGGACTGCTGTCCTCGGCCCAGTATACATGCACAGGAGGGGAATCGGTTTATTGACCGAAGTATGTCTGACTCTGCTACCATATGCGGTGATATGGCTTATTTCAGTTTGTTAGTACTGGGATTTTTTCAGTTGACCCATTCCGTCACAGACGTAAAAAAATTAATACAAATAATAATAATGGATGCATGGACAATTGAAGTGACACAAGCTTTAATTGTGATCTAGTCTGAAAAACAGATACTACAAGATCAGGATAGCATAGCATAACAAGAATTAAGGTATTTTGTATAATATACTATGACAGCATGGTATTGGATTTTTTTCCAAATATTTTAATGTGATTTTGTTATAATAAATATTGTGGTATTTATGAAACAACAAAAAGGAGTTTAACATAAATTTCTCACAAACCAGTCTAGGAGTGATTTAAATGCCAAGGATGAAAATGATTATGATTCTCTCGGAAAACACATGCAGCTTTCATGCAAATGCGACACTTAAACACCCTGCGCTGTAATATCCTTACCAAATTGAAAGTAAGAAAAAGCCTGATCTTAATCTAGTAAGAATTGGATGTGCATTACATGCAATGTTGGTATTAATATTGCACATCGTCCAGTCCTGTAATATACTGCAGCCATTGTTCGAATTCAGTGCAAAATACCCCTCCACACGTTGTGATGTCATTCGGGCAGGTTGCAGTTTTTACGCCAGTGGAAAACCAACACCTTGAAGCACCGTACTTTACAGTGCTGTACATTTCGTATGTTGTAAACTTTAAAAAAAAAAAAAATTACAAATGAGATGCGCACTATTCCTTGTAACTATGATGTTATCCGAAGGCAGACGACATCGCCGTATGGTGCTGGAGTGCGGCAACAACGCTACCTCTGCTATACTCTGTGCTGCTTCTGTGTACCGTCTTCTGGGGGGGGTGGGGGAGAGACTGGAGCATGTGCAGAGTGCCTAGGCCAGACTGAGTCTGATTGAACATTTACATGCAGGAGTAAATCGACTCCCAGTCACATTATCTGGGTGTCTTAGTCCGGTTTCGAGAAGTTCGATCTAGTATGATTTCAGTCAGACTAACATGTTTACATGTACTTTTAAAAGTGTACCGACTGTCTAAATATTCTGTGGACGATCTGCGGTGGGTTCGGTTTATATGATCTGTGAGTGTGAGGGTCACAGTGTTACGTGTGAAGGGGGGGGGGGTCCTGTTGACAGTTTGCCAGGCGGGCAGCAGTATCAATCACCAGTGACTGAAGCCCCCGCAAACAAACTGCACGTTTGACCTCCGGCTCCCTGGCCTGATATTCAGGCTTCAGCGGGATGGCTGACACATTCTTGGAAGGGCGCTATCTCTCACACCTTCTGGCCCCGCAAAGCCCCGCCCCTTCTCCTGCTCCTTGTCGGGGTTATTTGGGGGTGGTGTTTCATGCCCTCTGGCCCCTCGAGGCCCCGCCCCCTTTCTCGCTCCTTGTCGTAGTTATTTGGGGGTGGTGTTTCATGCCATTTGGCCCCTCGAGGCCCCGCCCCCTTTCTCGCTCCTTGCCGGGGCTATTTGGGGGTGGTGTTTCATGCCCTCTGGCCCCTTGAGGCCCCGCCCCCTCTCCCGCTCCTTGTCGGGGTTATTTGGGGGTGGTGTTTCATGTCATTTGGCTCCTTGAAGCCCTGCCCCCTCTCCCGCTCCTTGTTGGGGTTATTTGGGGGTGGTGTTTCATGCCCTCTGGCCCCTTGAGGCCCCGCCCCCTCTCCCGCTCCTTGTCGGGGATATTTGGCGGTGGTGTTTCATGTCATTTGGCTCCTTGAAGCCCTGCCCCCTCTCCCGCTCCTTGTTGGGGTTATTTGGGGGTGGTGTTTCATGCCCTCTGGCCCCTTGAGGCCCCGCCCCCTCTCCCGCTCCTTGTCGGGGTTATTTGGGGGTGGTGTTTCATGTCATTTGGCTCCTTGAAGCCCTGCCCCCTCTCCCGCTCCTTGTTGGGGTTATTTGGGGGTGGTGTTTCATGCC